ATATCTATAGTGGAGGAGCTCCATGACTTGCCTGATGAAGAGCTGTTTAGCAGGAGATCAATACCATGTAATGGGACTTTGTCACTTGTGTGATGATTGTTCACTGTTGAAGAGAAAACATGTAACATACAACATTCCTCAGGGACACATGATACTGGTGTACTGTAGCAGAAAAATATCAATAAATGGTAAAGAGTCGATACTGATTCTGTACTTGTTGGCATTGTATCAGTTTAAGGAATTATACACTAGAAAAAAAACCAATGGTATACCAGTCCAGGGTAAGGTACACCAGTACAGGGTAAAACATACACCGGTTTAGGGTGAGAGATACACATACCTGTTCAAAGTAAGATCTTTTCACTCCGTTATGGATCTTTTGTTGAGAGGGATTGGGTATCTCCTTGTCTCAACCCTAGGGCCAGACCAGGGTATCTCCTTGTCTCAACCCTAGGGCCAGACCAGGGTATCTCATACTGGAAAAAAGTGTCCATACATGACTCAATGAACAAATGTCCAGAGTGAAGATATGTCTGTCTTGGGTAAGATACACCTGTCTAGAATAACAGATACACCTATCTAGAGATACACCTGTCTAGAGATACACCTGTCTAGAGATACACCTGTCTAGAATAACAGATACACCTATCTAGAGTAAATGCTTTACCTATCTAGAGATACTCTTGTCCAGAGTAAGAGATACATCTGTCTAGAGTAAATGATACTCCTGTCCAGAGTAAGAGATATATCTGTTCTAGATACGAAATAAACACATATAAGGGTGATAAATACACCTGTTTAGAGTAAGAGATACACCTGTCCAGGGAAAGAGATACACCTGTCTAGAGTAAGAGATTACACTTGTCTAGAGTAAGAGATTACACTTGTCTAGAGTAAGAGATTACACTTGTCTAGAGTAAGAGATACACCTTCTAGAGTGAGAGATTACACTTGTCTAGAGTAAGAGATACACCTGTCCAGGGAAAGAGATACACCTGTCTAGAGTAAGAGATTACACTTGTCTAGAGTGAGAGATACACCTGTCCAGGGAAAGAGATACACCTGTCTAGAATAAGAGATACACTTGTCTAGAGTAAGAGATTACACTTATATAGAGTAAGAGATCCACCTGTCTAGAGTGAGAGATACCCCTGTCCATGGTAAGGGCTACACCTTCCTAGGTCAAGGGATACACCTGCCTAGGTTATTGTTAAGAGATTAACCTGTTCTTGGTAGAGAGATATACACTTGGCCAGGTCAAGAGATACACCTGTGCAGGGTAAGAGACATGCCTGTCCTTTGAGAAAACAAATGTCATTTTATGAATTTTAATAAATCTTCAGTATGTAAACTATAGATCTGATCAATTTGAAAATGAGTACATGTACAATATGCATGGTCTATTTACAAGAAGGTGGATATATTATATATATACAGATGATTCACCTATATGTATGTAAATTTGAAGACACCACAACATCTGTGTATGCTTATCTGTGGTATACGTCATGTCTTGTGGGACCAGTAATTAATTCATATCAGATGAATATAAATAATACATGAAACACAATAAATTAAAGTCACAGATTGTTACTGCATAAAAATCCACATACCATATCTGCCTTAATAAATGTCCCTCGATGCCTATAATTGACCCTCATCCTTTTCTGAGAGGAATTGAAAGTATATAGACCCCCTCCCTATCCCAGACTTGACGAGGCTGCAGGCCATGGGCCAATGATTTATAGTACTAGTCCTTACCCACTAAAGCAGAGGGTTATGTCTGGTAATAGACTGGCTGCCAGCCCCTAAGATTTTATGAAGAATTTCACGGCTGCATTTTACTACTAGTTTTTTCTAAATGATTCAATATTCTAGAGACGGGCGCCAGTCTAGTCTGGTAATCATGGCCTAACTTCCACTGAAGTAGTTTAAACATTTTGTATACACGTACACCTCCCGCCACGCTGGGATGTTTATAATGTCCTTCTGTTATACTGTGGTAACGGTGGAAGTTACACAACTTATTCTATCATAACTCACATTTTATTATCCTAATAAGCTCCCCCATTAAACTAATTTTAAGTGCCCAGGGTGTTAATTATGGCGAATATGGAAGGTAACTTTTGTATTTGATGTAAATGAGCAGGTGGCATTTTGATAGGAATTATTTTCAAGTGAAATTCCAAACTGTCCTGTATTTCAGGATTCAGTGTTACTTTTCTGGTGTGATTATTATCAGAGATCTTACATATTTTTTTCGAAACATGGAAATTATCAATTATTTTTTTTTTTGATATTTCATGTCACTGATCATACAATTTACATAGTAAGAAAAACGGGAATTAGATGGGGTAGGTCGCGATCGGTAGGCATTTTTTTTTTTTTTTTTACGAATTAATGTTATGCTTTATTTCAAACTCTACAATGTATTTCCACACATTACAATGGTTATTATTTTGTCAAGAATAAGGTTAGACTCTCAGAACAGGAATAAAGTACATTTTAATGAGTGGCTGTGACCTTTGCCTGGCTAATAAATTTATCTTAGATAAATACAAGTAGGTGATAAAAACACAGTAAAATCTAGGGTAAGTCGGGATACCTGAAACACACACTTTTTTTTTACCTAAACATTTTAGAACTGCAAGTACATTTGAAGTAATTATAAGCCAAGTTAACAATAGTACTGTCTAGCCTAACCTGATACAACATACACACTTCATGCTAGCCCAAGTTTCCTGTGGCCCTTACACCAAACTTAGACATTTTGACATATAAATGACACCAGACATCTATGTCAAAATGTCTAAATCTGGTGTAAGGGCCAGAGGAATCTCAGGTAAACTTCATGCTAAAGTATAATATTGTACTTGTAGCCAACACAAACCTGAGTACCCCATCCCTACAATCTGTGTAGTGTGGGCATAAACCACTACATACATGCCTGTGACATGTCACAGTATGTTATCTTTAAAATGTTTAGAATGACCTTGATTGACCTTGCAGTTGTCTGCAGTCACCTTTAGAATGACTGATTACATGCATACAGAAAGGAAATTTACACAGCTTATGTAATAGACTCAATCTGCATAAGCTATGTATGATAGAGCGAGTGAACCAGACTGGTATAATGTAAAAATTGATTGGTGAGCTCAATTTGTTCCTGCAACTATATCTGTAGGCTTATACTTACTGTTGTGGAAATGATATAGATGTCACTATTGCCAGCCATAATTGATGGACTCGATCCATCCAATTTACAGCTACGTCCACTTTTTATACAAAACTGGATCTTTACTGACAGTGAATCCACAGGAATAAAATCTTCTAAATATACAAATAAAAAAAAATATAAAAAAAATTGTTTAGACCAGGAGGGGGAAAAAAATAGATTTAACTTCAAAGATTTCACTGAAGAAATAATACAAAATTGAAAAGTAGGATCTGTTAAGAATTTGTTTGGGTAGGAATGATTTAACTTGAAGGATGGGGGTTGATAAATTATTTATGTTTCATCTTTGGCCAGAGTAAATATATACACATTCCCTAGACTCAGGACCTAGACCTTTGTGTGCCATTAAACTACCTGTATATGTACACCACCTGTGGCTGAAAGTTGTATGGCCCAGATGTTGCCTAACTAGGTTATCAGTTCATGACCTTTCTGGTCAAGTTCTGACCATGACCACGGAATTAGATTTAAGTCTGTGCCATGACTGATTGATGTATTGTATATGTTACACTGTAAACAAAAACACTGGTAAAGTGTACTCATATAAGTCCACTGTTATTTTTAAGGAAACAATATGTTATTTAAGGCATCTTCAGATATACATTGGAGTAACATTACCTGGATTGTGAGGTTTTATTGTATTGTTCGTAATGACAGGGACAGGAGGGAAAACGTGGCTGCTACCTATTTATCAAAGCACCCACTGATATTGTGATGTCACTACCAGTGTTCTGAGTTTGCAAAAGGTGCATGTAGCTGACTCGGAAAGAATATATTCAGTTGAATGTTCACATGTTACATGTATAATGTTGACTTATATATACCTTATAGTAGGCAACTTTTGCAAGCAACCAGCTTTAACCCATGCTAAGTTGAGATAACTTGTGCTCAATCCTTTTTGTTGAATTACAAATAAAATATGTTTAAATCGAAACCCATTCACCCATAAAGTTGCATTTAAACCTTACCAAATCAAAGGCTTGGCAAGTCTACTTTATAAATGTAGGGGTAAATGAGTTAAAGAGAACTGAGTTTACTCACTTTATTGTTCTTATATCTTGTCCTTACTACATACTATTTACATACAGGATTTATTGCATCTGCATGTTGACATGTTTGAACCAATGAGATTTATATGAAATTCTAGCAACCTTTATCTAGTCCTGATAGTAAATTTTATTTGGGACTATACCCATATTTATCACATAATGTATACTGTGTTATCCAGTTAATATACCCATGTCATAGTATACGTATTTTGCGTATTAACCCATGTAATATGTATAACCAATCAGCCCTGTGATTGTGCATATACCCGGGTATGTTTCAATTGTTACCATTGTGACGTCACGCCTAGGACAAGTTCATGACATCACAGACTTACACACTGGAGTCAAAATGGCGGCTTTTTACATTTCAAGGTTGCATGAAAATTGTCTTTCTATACGCATAAATGCCACAAATCTTGAATATTTGATAAAAAAGGATCTTATACTCATTTTCATTTCATATCAAATTTATGAAACTCATCACAGATATTTCATTTCAGCTTGCCAGAGGCTCCCTGAAATGAAAAATGCTTAGACCCGTTGCATAAATCTCATATGAAATGGAAACTCATGTAAGATCCTATATACATGTATATAAGCTGGAAGGTAACAAACCCCTCCTGGTTGAAAATGGAAATGGTTATTATTCTTCAGGTACAAATTACTGAAATTAGTGTGCCCTATTGTTATTTGAGTTGCCATGTTTTATATTTCAGGGTACTTGGATAATGTCCATAAGGAAGGAGACAATGTTTTTATAGTAACAGTGGGCGAGTTAGCTGGAAAGATTGACCTTGGATTTTTCCGTAAGTCTTATGAGCTTGTTTGATATCCACAATTGATTACACAAAGACTTCTTCTAAAGAACCATAAATATTAGTCATGATCTTTCATATGTTGTTTGCTGGGGTGAAGGGCTATCAAGTTTGTTCAAATAAATTACCTGGTTCTACATTTAAGTAATACTGGTAAAATATTTCAAAAAACTGAAAAAAATATTTCAAAAAAGAACCACAAGGCCGGGAATAATGATACTTGTCATTGCTTCATGGAGGGTGTTTGAGTTTTAGCCTTTAGTAATGATATTTGGTTAAGCCTGTTGCCTGTTAGACTATAAGATGATGCAAGGCAAAGAGTCATGATATTCGGCATGCTATAAACTTGCTGAGATGATCAGGGGCCATCAAGTTTAATCTCACAAATCACCTTGACCCGGCCATATTCAAGATCAAGGGAGTCAAATCATATTTGTATAAAAATCTGCAAACAACTGCTATTTCAAATACATTGAGGCCTAATGGGCCTGTATCACTCACCTATTCCTACAATATCTAAACGAGATAAGAAGTTGAATTGTTCCTGATAACTTTAGACCATGGTGGCCATATTAGATTTCTTCTTGACTCCAAGAATTATAATAAAACTTAGTAAGGGCAGTGACAGGAAAAATATTATTACCATTATGACCATTTTCGAAAAAACAGAGAATAAATAAAAAAAATCCTGTTTCGTTACCAATTGGCTTAATGAGGTTGAGAAGTTATAAAATGTCTTAAGACAATCATGGAAGTGGTCATACTTATATATCTATAATTATAAACAACATTTCATTCCATTGGGTCAGGTATGATCCTTTGATAAAAATTCCTTCAGCTATTATGGATAAGTAGGCTTTTTAAAGCAAAACTTGGTAGCGGACATCATGCCATGGAATAAATTCATTTGATCCTCCTTTGGACTATATTTTGGCTAAAAGCGAGTTAAGATCTTCAAATTACTCCTTCTAATGAACAGTGGCCATGGGGGACAGTAATACTATTTGCCCTGTAGCTGACTCTGTGGTGAAAGGCCTTCAAAATGAATAATTTTGTATAGTGCATTGTGTAATTTAGCCTTCATTGTAAACTTAAATTATAAGGAGATGGGGGTGGGGGTATGTTTGTTAATTTAGAAAGAATTACACGTCTTATTTGTTAAAAAAAGTAAGAAACATTTACATATTATCGAGTAAAAAGGGCTAATAAGAAACATGCTAGCCATCTTGGATTTGTTCCCTTGGCTCTCGTTCTTGCCACAATAAGACATGTACTAGTGCATGTACTTAACATAAGGCACCTATAATTTTTCATACAAAATAGTCAAGATAATAGCACTGATATGTCAATGTAGGATAACTTGTGTTTTGTGTTTATAGCTGGCAAGTACTCAGATGACAGAATTAAAGAAATTGTACAACAGGCCAAAGAGGAGAGTACCCGTGTAGAGACAATGCTGGCCGATTATGTGGATAGTCTTCGTGCTAAAAGGGTATGTACAATATATGTAAAAGAATATATATACGGTACACATGTGGTGCTCTTCTTTCTCATCACAATGATTAATCCTGCCAAAATTGTTTATTTTGTTACAAGTTCGAGAGAAGTGTGTACAGTGCCTAGTGTAATAAGATGTATGTGCTCAAATCTCCATCTGCATCCTCCACACAAATCTCCATCTGCATCCTCAACACAAATCTCCATCTGCATCCTCCACACAAATCTCCAACCTCCAAACAAATCTCCAACCTCCACACAAATCTCCATCGGTATCCTCCACACAAATCTCCAACCTCCACACAAAGCTCCATCTGTATCCTCCACACAAATCTCCGTCTGTATCCTCCACACAAATCTCCATCTGGATCCTCCACACAAATCTCCATCTGTATCCACCACACAAATCTCCATCTGTATCCTCCACCCAAATCTCCATCTGCATCCTCCACACAAATCTCCATCTGTATCCACCACACAAATCTCCATCTGTATCCTCCACTCAAATCTCCATCTGTATCCTCCACACAAACCTCCATCTGCATCCTCCACACAAATCTCCAACCTCCACACAAATCTACATCTGTATCCTCCACACAAATCTCCATCCTCCACACAAATCTCCATCTTTATCCTCCACACAAATCTCCATCTGTATCTTCCACACAAATCTCACTCAGATGACAGAATTAAAGAAATTGTACAACAGGCCAAAGAGGAGAGTACCCGTGTAGAGACAATGCTGGCCGATTATGTGGATAGTCTTCGTGCTAAAAGGGTATGTACAATATATGTAAAAGAATATATATACGGTACACATGTGGTGCTCTTCTTTCTCATCACAATGATTAATCCTGCCAAAATTGTTTATTTTGTTACAAGTTCGAGAGAAGTGTGTACAGTGCCTAGTGTAATAAGATGTATGTGCTCAAATCTCCATCTGCATCCTCCACACAAATCTCCATCGGTATCCTCCACACAAATCTCCAACCTCCACACAAGTCTATCTCTTGAAAAAAATGCAATCATTTTCATTCTAGAACTCTCTATGCATGCCTATAGTATTCTCCATCTGTATCCTCCACACAAATCTCCTGTCAATGTAGGATAACTTGTGTTTTGTGTTTATAGCTGGCAAGTACTCAGATGACAGAATTAAAGAAATTGTACAACAGGCCAAAGAGGAGAGTACCCGTGTAGAGACAATGCTGGCCGATTATGTGGATAGTCTTCGTGCTAAAAGGGTATGTACAATATATGTAAAAGAATATATATACGGTACACATGTGGTGCTCTTCTTTCTCATCACAATGATTAATCCTGCCAAAATTGTTTATTTTGTTACAAGTTCGAGAGAAGTGTGTACAGTGCCTAGTGTAATAAGATGTATGTGCTCAAATCTCCATCTGCATCCTCCACACAAATTTCCATCTGTATCCTCCACACAAATCTCCATCCTCCACACAAATCTCCATCTTTATCCTCCACACAAATCTCCATCTGTATCCGCCACACAAATCTCCATCTGTATCCTCCACCCAAATCTCCATCTGTCTCCCCCACCCAAATCTCCAACCTCCACACAAATCTCCAGCTGTATCCTCCACACAAATCTCCATCCTCCACACAAATCTCCATCTGTATCCGCCACACAAATCTCCATCTGTATCCTCCACCCAAATCTCCATCTGTATCCTCCACACAAATCTCCGTCTGTATCCTCCACACAAATCTCCATCTGGATCCTCCACACAAATCTCCATCTGTATCCACCACACAAATCTCCATCTGTATCCTCCACTCAAATCTCCATCTGTATCCTCCACACAAAACTCCATCTGTATCCTCCACTCAAATCTCCATCTGTATCCTCCACACAAATCTTGTGTTTATAGCTGGCAAGTACTCAGATGACAGAATTAAAGAAATTGTACAACAGGCCAAAGAGGAGAGTACCCGTGTAGAGACAATGCTGGCCGATTATGTGGATAGTCTTCGTGCTAAAAGGGTATGTACAATATATGTAAAAGAATATATATACGGTACACATGTGGTGCTCTTCTTTCTCATCACAATGATTAATCCTGCCAAAATTGTTTATTTTGTTACAAGTTCGAGAGAAGTGTGTACAGGGCCTAGTGTAATAAGATGTATGTGCTCAAATCTCCATCTGCATCCTCCACACAAAACTCCATCTGTATCCTCCACACAAATCTCCAACCTCCACACAAACCTCCATCTGTATCCTCCACACAAATCTCCGTCTGTATCCTCCACACAAATCTCCATCTGTATCCTCCACACAAATCTCCAACCTCCACACAAGTCTATCTCTTGAAAAAAATGCAATCATTTTCATTCTAGAACTCTCTATGCATGCCTATAGTATCCATTACTTGCTCACGTTTGATTTAGATCCAAATCTGAAATTCAACATGGACATTTATTGGCCATTTTGAATTTTGTGAAAAGTCACTTTGATTCTATGCAAAAGTCCTTGAAGGAATGCAATTGATTTTAATTTCAATTTCTGCACATGCCTATACAGTTATATGACACAGAGTGATATACAGTTATATGACACAGAGTGATATACAATTATATGACACACAGTGATATACAGTTATATGACACAGAGTGATATACAGTTATATGACACAGAGTGATGTACAGTTATATGACACAGAGTGATATACAGTTGAATGACACAGAGTGATATACAGTTTTTATACAGTTATATGACACAGAGTGATATACAGTTATATGACACAAAGTGATATACAGTTATATGACACAGAGTGATATTATATAAATATGACATTCATTAGCAGGTGACAGTGAATATTGTCAACCCGAGAAAACCATTTTCACCCGAGGCGAAGCCGAGGGTGACAATGGGTTTTCGAGGGTTGACAATATTCACTATCATCTGCTAATGAATGTCATATCTATTTTGTTACACCAAAAGTCTTTGTAGCTCAGAAACGGCAGCAAACCTCGATAATGACATCTTGTTGATAGTCTGCTGTTTACAATCGCTATCGCACCGGCGCTTGATAAAATTGGCTGTTGCCGTCAAACGTTCTTGTGACCATTACGGTGGGGAAACGAAGCGGCGAACGCACATTTTTCGCGCATGTGATATTTTTCACTGTCTCATGGCAATATCACCCGCGCCCCTTAAACCCAATATATTTTCGGAGGGTGACAGAGATTTTTGTTTAATTTTCTCCCAACCAATCAAATAGCTAGAAATTCACTTGAGGTGTAACAAACAGTAATATGACACAGAGTGATATACAGTTATATGACACAGAGTGATATACAGTTATATACAGTTATATGACACAGAGTGATATACAAATGTATGTGTAATAGTTCTTCACTACAGTGTACACTGTATTACCATACAGGACTTTTTCATTCTATTTTTTTTATTTTTTATTTTATTTTAAAACTTATCATGTAAAAGACTTAAAAACAAAAACATCTTTTATTTTAGATGTTGTTGCATGATCATCTAAATACAAGCTGAGCTTTACCAGAAAAAAAACCCACAGAATCAAAAATATTTTTTTTGGGAGATTTTGAGAAAACGCAGCAACATTTTCTATTGAGAATGGGGCCCAAATTTAGCTTCACTGATCCTGGCCCTATTGTGGTACCAGTAAATGCCCTGCCATTATTAACCATAATTGTTTGTTTTCCAGATTCATGGCGAGGGGAGACAACTTACAGAGAAAAATGCTGGTCAAGCCATCTGTGATTTTGCAGAGAAGAATGGAGCGTCACTGATTTGTATGGGGACCCGAGGCCAGGGACTTGTTCGCAGAACAATGCTTGGCAGCGTTAGCGACTACATCATCCACCACTCCAAGTGTCCGTGCATCCTTGTTCATTAACCTTGCCAGAATAAAGATCTACGCTAGAGTGTTGTTAATAATCATGTGATCTACATGTGGGACGCGGTTCTGGTTGCATCATGCTCGCTCACAATCATGCATGGTCTATTTGGTGCACGAAATTTTAATCTGATACATGTATCTAACATTGCAGACATAATATTCCAGTATTTTTATCTGGTACAAAGTATTTTATAAATAAGACACATGTTTACACATGCCAATCTCCCACATTTTTACACTTTATATAACATGTTTATCGCTTAATTTGTTGGCGATGCTATTTAAATCTATTCTTGTTGAAATGTATCATTTATGTGTGTATAAAATGTCCTTTAAATTGAACCCCTTAAAAATTCACATGATTATTAGCAGCTTTAGCAGTAACGCAATGTTACTAATATTTGTGACCCAATCTGATAGAAGTGATTGTAGGGAGGTCGTTATGACTCCAGTAGATATGCACCCAGAATTTTGAATCACCACTTTCACATCGAGAACAGATATAAACCTTTAATCAAACTCGGGGCATTTTACCATTTTTTGTTAATTTTACATAGAACTGAATTTTCAGATCCAACAATATTTAAAATGATACTTCGCAGTACTGTTCCACTAACCATGTTTCTGTTCAGTAATTAGTCAAGACTTGGATATATGAATTTCCCTGGTTCGTGGGATTGGATATCTTGTCTGAGTGAAATGTGAACCCCGGTTATAATATCCACCTGATCCTGTTCACTTAATTTTTGTGCTACCATATCAATTGTTATTTTCGTTAACCTGTGCAACCTTAAACCAAAAATGTGAAGTTTTAAAATCAGAATTTGGGTAAAATATGCATTTAGTAAGAAGTAGCTTTAAAAATTTGGAGATGTCAGGACATGTTTGTATGGTATTATATGTAAACCAATGTGGGATATGACTTGCCTGGTTTCCCACCTATAAGTGTAATGCACTAACAGTTACGCAATTTATGTGTGCAATGTTTATGATATTGTAAGTTTGTCAGCGAAATAAATATAAAGATGTGTATCTCGTTCCTATGAAAGTTTCTCCTGTAAAAACTCTGTATTTTAATATTTGACTCTGGCATAATATAATCACACTTTGTAAGAAACGTAGTCTTTTTTCTCTCTGGGAACTAGTATTAATGACAGGTCATTCTTTAGAAAGAACTGTTTTAACAGCAATAGAAATTTTATACATATATATACGCATTGGTTTAACAATATAGAAACATGTACACAACTTACTTGTATATATTGTTGGCGGTCACTGCGTTTCTTTATGTAACTTCGCAGGTGATTGATATGTTGTTGCACCCATATCTTTGCTCGTAGTTTTCTTTAGTTTGTTGTTGTAGGAATACTACTTTGTAGCTTTTAAGAAGTTTTCTTAAACGGATACCTCTGTTCTGTTCTTTTTTAACATTCCATCAACACCTTTTTTTAAGGAGTGCTTACTCATCGACAGGAATGGAGTATATAAGTTGGGGCCTTTTTCTGTTTTATATGCATGCCGCAAGGTGGAGGGGTTTAGTTCTCAAAAATGTCATTAGTTATATAGTCCAACAGCTGAAATAACCATGCTTCAGGGACCAAATCAGACCCATTATTTGCAGATCTGAACAGATAAGGTTTCAACATTAAAATCTGCAGTTTAATCCAAATAGATTCTATATTATCGGAATTGTGAATTTTTTTGTGTAATTGTGAATGGTTTGATTATAACTCGGTACTAAATTAAATTCCACATATTTATGTACATGGAAAACACTTGGAAGATAATTTTGGAAGAACACGCCAGCCCTTTGAAAAATAAACTCTTCTTATGTTTGATATCAAAATAAAGAACATTTTTATCATAGAAAACGTAGTGGAACACTAGGATATCCTTTGAAGAGAAGAATCATGTCCCTAAAGTCAGATATTTGGAAAATAGCTTGCTATGCATTTATAAGATTTTTTTGTAATAAACACTCTTACCCAGTTATTTTTTGTTTTTGTTTTTGTTTTCAAACAAATATCAGCTTTTAAAAGTTGAGTGTGTAGCCTAATATAAGTTTTTTAATAATTTCGCCATGGATATAAATCTACTGTAGTATTTATCCTTGAAGTTCAACATCCTATTAACAGCTAAGGTCATTCAAGGATGTGCCTCCATGTGTGTAGTGTATGTGTGTATGCAGAAGAATCCTTCACAGTATTTCACTTTAAATAAAGAAAGCAATTATGTAACTTGACTAAAGGTCACACAGGTGAATCAAACTGAAAATCTTGAAATGACTATTTCTCTATAGAGCCAGAGGGTTTGGAGCTTTGCTAGGGAGAATGAGTAGCTTGTGACCTACTTGCCGAATACTATGGCCTTAATAAAAAAGTTGTTGTACGAGCTAGAAAACAGTTTGTAAAACGCACATGATGAAGAGAGCTAAACATAAAGCCTTACACAAGAATTGGATCTAGATACAAATTCTAACCAAACTGAGTGAAGCAGAAAATGTAGGTCACAGTGACCTTTTTTTGATATATAGGTGAAGTACTCCAGTAGTATATATATCTAAAGTTTGATGTTTTTTGGGCTCCTGGTATGGAGCTTGATGCAAAGTCTAACCATAAGTTTTAAGAACGGATGGATAGAAGCACGGACAGAAAATGCACTGTTTGGGTCTTAAAAGTTTTGTGACGTTTTGATGGACAACAAATGTCATATCATCAGATACCCATATTCTAATTCACAGGGGTCAAATCTGCTAAACAATGAACTTTGGAAAAACCAAAAAAGGTCATGATATGTTTTCATTAGCTTGTTCAAATGTTGTGCTAGGAAAGAAAGTCTGCTAAAAACAACACACTTAAATCTTGTTTTCAGACCCACTCCAATCCTTGTAATTTCTTCAAGCATAGATAGGAGCTAGCATCCTGGTAGCTCGAGTGCTGTCATCTGTTCAAGGTCAGCAAGCAACTACTGTATGATCCATTGCCCTACATTGGGCTTCACCAGTGGGGAGGGGATGGACCCAGAGCTAATCCTGGTAGCATGGATTATTTATCATATAATGTCCAATATGTGTATTCATGTATATGGTTAGAGTGGGGATCCAAACTGGTAAGAGTTATGACCCAGTTTCTAAATTCTGTCCAACCCTTCAGGTGGTGACAGACCCTGGAGAAATACTGGTAGCATTGATGTAGTTGTATAGTGATGTCCAGTAAGTATTCATATGGTTGTAGTGTGGGGATCTGAAATGTTTCAAAGTTTTGACCTGATTTTCCCATTTGCACTCTGCCTCATATGGGTCAAAACTAATTTTGAACGTATGACATTCTTTCCCCAGTAATACCAAATTTGGATACAATCAATGCAGGGATTCAGAGTAGGATTTTATACATGTAAACACTCAAATTTTCCATATTGGGGCTCCACCCGTCTCCAGAGTGTGTATCATCTAAACTCAAATATGATCACCTTGCTCCAGTGATGTTTCGAACCAAAAATTGTTACCATCTAAGCTGTTGTTTAGGAGTAGGCCTTGTAAGGATCCATGAACCTCTACCAAACACTGTAAATAAGTATATGTATTTGAAACTGTTTTTTCCGGCATGATTATAGCTTTGATAAATCCTTTCTGAAAAGAAAACCATACATTGCAAGACTTTTATGAGAAACAAGGCATCATAAGCGATACAAATCCCCTCACATTCACACTTTGTGACATATATAAGTGGAGTTGAGCGACAAAGTTTTTCTAAAAATAGTAGAAGCGATCTTGACCTTTTAATGCATCATTGAGTAACCTAAAATGTGAACTTGTTTAAAACACTGGTATGAAGTTTCATGAAATTCCTTTGAGGAATGAAGTTGGTAGAGCGATGACAAAGATTTTCTAAAAATAGTAACTGGCCTTGACCTTCAATGTAGAAACCAGAAATGCAAATTTGTCCAAGGTCCTGAGAGGGTACAGTCGAGATTTCAAACCGCAGAAAGTATGATATCAATAGGTTTAAATGTATATTAGATCACTCATTTATAATGAATCTTGTTGGAAGATTATTTTGATTCTGAATAAATGCATATACTTGATACAATGTATTCCAGAGAGGCTAGGTGAATAAAGCGAGAAGTTGCCTTTTCTCCTCAGCTGGAAAGACATTTTTGTTAGCTAGAAATCCACCGACAGCTGCGCTAAAACGTACAGCTGTACAGTTAAGCATTTCTCCATTACTGATCAAAAACTCTTGTCAATTTCTTGACATAAATTGTTCATAAGGAGTATCAAGCTATATAATCATAAAGAATTTTGTAACAACGTTATAAAAACAAACTTACTTCACTAAATTGTCCCTTTAAACCATTACTCTAAGTTATTGAGCTACCTGGTGGAGGGAAGCATTATGGCGCAACTGTGTTACAGTTATATCCGAATGGAAGTAAAGGGGAGGTTACTGTATATAGGGAAAAAACAGGGCAGTAGGATTAGAGATCCTTAACAAGAGGCCCAGAGGGCCTGTATCGCTCACCTGAATGTGTTTAAAATAATTGGTATGAAGTAAAGATATAGCACTCAATGGTAGGTGCTGTAAGTACATATGAATTTTCAGAAAGATCCATCCAGTACTTGAGATATAGCGATATAAGGATGCTTCATACCAAATTTGGACAAAATCCTGTCATTCCTATAGAAGAAGGTTTTTGAAGAATTTGCTATGTTTTCCCTAATGGGCCTGCCAATCTGGCCACACTCGCTGTTTATACAAAATTGAGTCCCTTTTGCCCAAGATTCTCCAGACCAAATTGGGAAGAAATCCCTTCATCCCTATGGTAGAAGGAGGATTTTAAAGATTTACCCCTATTTCCCCTATTGGGCCCCATCCTTCTGCCCCCTTGGAGACCACACCCACTGCTTAAACAAAATTGAGTCCCCTTGGCCATAGGATCCTCCAGACCAAATTAGGATAAAATCCCTTAATCCCGATGGTCGAAGAAGGATTTAAAAAGTTTTACCTCTATTTCCCCTATTGGGCCCGCCCCTCAGGTCCAAGGGGGGGGGGGGGGGCACACTCACCATTTATACAAAATTTGTTCCCATTTACCCAAGGATACTTCACACAAAATATCGACCAAATCCTTAAATTCCGACAGAATAAGGATTTCAAAGAATATTTTGCTATGTTTCCCCTATTGGGCCCACCCCTAAGGCCCCTGGGGGGGGGGGGGGGCCAGACCCACAGTTTATACAAAATTGGTTCCTCTTCACCCAAGGATGCTTCAGACCAAATCTTTTCATTCATACAGAAGAAGAAGGATGTTAAAGACTAATTTGCTATTTTTCCCCTATTGGACCTCGCCCCTCAAGCCTCTGGGGGGCCAGACACACGGTTTATACAAAATTAGTTCCTCTTCCCCCAAGGATGCTTCTGAGCAAATCTGGAACAAATCCTTTCATTCCTACAGAAGGAGAAGGATTTTTAACAATTTGCTATATTTCCCCTATTGGGTCCGCCCCTCAGCCCCCAAGGGGGACCACACCCACCATTTACACAAAATTGGTTCCCCTTCACCCAAGAATGAGAAGGATTTTAAAGAATTTGCTTTGTTTCTTCTATTGGGCCCCGCCCCTCATGCCCCTGGGGGGACAAACCCACCATTTATACAAAATGTGTTCCCCTTCCCCCAAAGATGCTTCTGACCAAATTTGGTCAAAATCTACTGGGCCGTTCAGGACAAGTAGCGTTTTAAAGGAAAAGTTGATGGACGGACGGATGCTGCGCCATGAAGCTCACTTGCCCTTCGGGCAGGTGAGCTAAAAATCAGCAGCCCAATTTCCCCCATTGTGCCCACCTCTGCTCCCAGGTGGGACACCAACTTACATTTCTAAAGAAATGATCGCCTTGCTTCTGTTATTATTCACATTAAATTCGGTGACAACCTGTGAAGCTATGTGAATGTAGTAGGCCTTTGAAGCAAACATTTATGACAGCTGGATGGAGGTTAGACACAACCTTCCGGCAAGCTCCACCGAGGCGTCAGGCGAGTCAATAATCATACAGACAGCATACTTTTGTGATGTATTTTTTTAATCATTTTTCCATTGATAATTTACACCAGAATACAATTAATACAGAAACAATTTTCTAACATAAAAACATGAACAAAAAAAATATGACTGTCTGCAGCACTTGATACAAAGATTTGATCTTGATACCCTACACAAAGGGAGAATAAAGGTATAAATATAACCCATTACATGATTGATATTATTTGTATGATTTATAATGTGAAATAAGTGCTTTAACTAAACTAAGACAATGAGGTTGGTCTGATAATGAAAATTCACTCTAATTTATTATCAAGGTACAAAATACTTCCTTTACACTTTTCATATCACATTTAATAGTAAAATTAACAAGAAAAGCTATCACTGTGCTTTAGAACTCATGAAAATTGGAGCACTCTTTCTTCTCTACACAACTCTATGTCTGCAAATCTTTGCAATACTATAAGCACTCTTTTGTAGAAAAAAACAAACTTCACCGTGTGTAGCCGTTTTGTACTAAAAGTACAGTTTTGTGAAATAAATTAAATAGATACACTGCCAGAATGTTCATTTCACTTATAGTCATAAACATTATGCACTATACCAGATGATGAAAGCATCATAAGATGGCTGCTCCTCTGATAAATCTTTAACGCTCCAGTTGAACTGAATGTCATGTGAACACTGTCGTCTACACAACTCTAAGGGAGTCGGTATTGGATGTATGGCACTTCCACATCCTCGCCGTCCTTATCATTACAACACAGTTCTAGCACCAGAGCCTTCACATAGGGGGGAATCTTCTTCTTCGACACCTGTTTCACCACCTCGGACATCCTACAACATGAATATATAATCTAATATCAAATGCATATGTGCTGTTTAACTTTGCTAGTAAAGATTACCAGAGAAATTCAATATAGTAAAATGGAAAATTCTCTATACATTTCACATCCATTGTACATTACATTTCCTACTAAAATTTGTACAGCAAAATGTAAGTTTTTCTTACGATTATCCACCGATTTAAAACATTTGAACCAGTTCAAAATATTTACCATGGCAGTATTTTTGCTTCACATAATGTTCTAGATTTCCACCACAATAATTTTTACACAGCTGCTGAAAATTTTGGTCAATGTATTTCAGTAATTTATTGTCCACCAAGCAATAGATTAAACATGTCACCCACTGGTAGGAACAAGAATGAAGAAATACTCTTCATATGTATCTTAAATAGGGAAACGAAATCTTACGGCATTTTCAGTCGTTCTGCCCGCTTAGCTGGGGACATGAAGAAGGAGTAGAGCATTGACACACCCTGAGACAACATTGTGATCTCCAGGTCCAAGTTGTTCTACAAAATCAATTCTGTATTACTCAACAGTCTATTTACAACCTATACTGTAAATGAACCAACTGTAAAATGTTTATATCTCTGTCAAATACATATTTACTATTATTGTCCTTTTATCTTTATAAACACATTTGTCCAGTACAAAATTTTCAAATATTTGTCGCGAGAGACTTGAAATTACATATTGGGCAGAATTGTATTTTCTTCCAACAAACAACAATGCGTTTTAGTGCTCATTTCCTAAGTTAAAAACACTGTTTATCTTAGGATTGGAAAGCATCAATCATGACAAATGGACGAAGAATTTTACAGCACAAATCATGAAAATAATACTTTTACTCTTTTGCAAATATTTTATACTGAAGTGACCTTACCTTAAAATGGTCAAGGAACTCTTGCAGTGTCATGTCCCCCTGAATCTCTATCCGGTCCCAAAGAGTGAATTCTTTGTCGTAGTACTGAAAACAAGAGTTGAAAACATTTTTTTAAATAAGGGTTATACGCCACAGGTGCAGATTTTACTTTCTAGACACTAGTCAACAAATTGCAAGTTGAGAGATAACAAGTGCACTGGTACATGTTTACAAACATAGCACCACTATTGATGATATGGCAGACCTGCTGTTATCATTATTATATAAATAAACAATTCTTTATGTGATAAGCAAAGTAAACAGAACCAGAACCTTTATGTAAGTAACAACTGAATCTACAATGAATGATTTAGAAGGGGATCTTGGTAAAACTTCCAAAGATATTTAACAAAGCTTAGAAAAAAATGCTGATTGACAGGGAACGTCATTGTCTCACCTTGTTTGTTGGAGCCAAAAGTGGTTCCGAGAATGCAAAGAATGGCAGTGCCAAGTTCACAAATCCGTTCTTGTACATTTCAATATTTTTGTGACCTTGGGCAAGCTGCAAGTACAAAAGCAATTATAGGTTATCAATCCATCATTTAACATAAAGACATTTTCTGTTACCTGTGTGTCATTATTCCTTAATATTTATTCATTTAAAGTACCTGCATTTTTTTCCCATCAAAACCCCAGCACTTGACCTCAAGAAATAAAAAAACATATCTTCTTAAATAAATGAAACAAAAGTATATTTGGACCACCACTCTGACTTGACAGGTTTTTAAAAACCAGTGGTAAAATAATGAAAATAATGCAATTTCTTTGTTAACTTGTAAAAAAAAGGTCAATATTTTCAATACTTAATTTTTTAAGTGGAAAAAGTGCACAAACTATGATCAGTTGATAGGGGAACTAAGCCATTATTGACTTACCTTGATAAGTTCTATGCCGACTAGTCCAACAACCAGAGCTGTGGTTGTCGCGATAGCTGGAATGATCTTCCCTGCAATCAGTTTACTCTGTAGGATATAAAGGTAAACTTTTAAAAAAAGAACACTAAAGATCTGTTAATGTCTGTAATATTGTCTGCCTTTGATCAAAGCCAATGTAACAATATCAGTGAACAATAGTACCGCGAGGTGGAACAAAGTACGCCCGTCGAATGCCATATAGTGTTGTATACTTTCTTACATTGAAGTAAGATATGCTATAAAAATGTAGGAGAAAATTTTCGGACAAAAAATCAAATACTGAAATGAACAAAAGGCAATAAATTTTGCAAAATCGTTAATCCAAAATTCTTTTAAGGGAGACGCAACTTCATATATTGATTATAATGTATACCAAGTTTCAAATGGATCAGTCGAAAAATGTAGGAGGAGATTGCCAGACAAACAAAGTTTACACCGGCCGGACAGACGGAGTCATACAATAATACTACCGTCAAATTTGACGGTCGTATAAAAAGTCAGTAGAACCGACATATGTTCCCTAAATAACATCCTGATTATGAAGCATATGCCCTATAGTAAACATCTGTTAAGATTCCAGAAATAAACACAAACAAAATTTGGTTGATTTCTTCCCAAAGGGCATCATCCAGTCAAGGTTGGTTTTGATATATATGTAGTACCCAACATTTTCCCAAAGTTTGTATATTTTAATAGCCACTGTGACCCCTAGATCAATTAGCTTATTTACCTCCCCTTTTGTAATCATTCACAAAAATCTGATTTTACATAGGATAAATATTTCAAGTTATCAAACCGGGAACAATTAGTTTTGGACACAGGGAAATCCAGTCACAGATAAAACGACAATAAGCTCCTGAAAGTATTGTTTTCAGGGAGAATAATACAGCAACTATTTACCGCAGATAAACTTTATACTTCTCTAATTGTATTTAATAGAACATTTGATAGCTAACTCAGCCAGAGTAATATATGCACCACACCCCGAGTACACTCACAGCTCCTTACCAAGGGTAAGTTCAGTACCCCCAGCACACTTGCAGTTCTTTTACAGATTAAACCCTACACCCCCTAAACACTTGTATTAATATTTTTCGGTCCTTGACTCTATGGCTTGCAGATTAATATTTGCATCCCTCCACTATCATATCATAGAGTTAGCTAGTAGCATGCACCATTATAGGACTGGAATACAAGCAGCCATCAGCTAACACTCACCTTGTGTCTATCTGCTGGGGTGATGCTATAATTCTCTGCTCTCAGGTTAGAACAGGCTACTATAAAGTCCATGTGGAAATTTGTGTCATCATCCTTTTCAAAGTCTATGGCTACAAATGGGATGTCCTTCCACTTTTCTGGAGAGCCAAGCTCTTTCTGGATATGATCCAGTTGGTCAAGATCTACAAACAAGTACATTCTATTTATATCTGTAATACTTGCATGATACATCAGCTGATGTCACGCTGCTACAATCACCTGCACAGTGAATTGTAATAAGACAAGCAGAATTGTAATAAGACAAGCAAAGCCAAGAAAAAAACAGTACTTAGTTTCATCCATTTAATGGCATTAATCTCAGCTCACTCCAGTTAATGAAATTAACTCTATATTTATTTGATTGATTCATATGAATGAAAATGAACTTAACTGCGAAGTCTAATAAAGTCAGTGAAGTGGAAAATATAGGTCACAGTGACCTAAATTTGATAGATCGGTGTAGTACTCGAGATATATGCACCAATGAAGCTTGATAACAAAAAAAAATATATGTATTATCATACCAGAGTTCCCTCCACCGAGTCTGTTAGACTCCACCTCAGCATCAGTGGTTTCAATCCTCACTCCCGATCTTGGTTTGAATTCGGGGACCACCACTTTGGAAACCATTTCCTTGACTGCGTTCCTGTCACGTACTTGCTTGATGCCATACATCTCTGCTCGCAGGTTCGCTGCGGCACACACATAGTCCATGTGTACTTCCTATACATCATATCAAAATACATAAATTAACAGCTTATACAACATATATATCAAAATACAACGAATATTCTTTATAACATACCAAAAAACACTTATAAGCTAAATGGAGAACTGCTTGATTGCTGAACTTTATCTTTTCAAATGAAGGAAATAGGATTACAGCCGCTTTATCAAAATGAACAGGGCTGGATTACCTCCTCTTTATCAAAGTATGGCAAAATATTGTAAGCAACCCATAGTTGCCCACCTCCATACAAATTCTGGTATCAAAAAGTGAACATTTTGCCATCCACAGAGGAACATGCACAATCTATTTGGCAACTTAAAGTATTCTAGATATGCTCCTGACAAAATGAAGCTAAAAGGACCATAGTAATGTATATGGTGGAGCACAAGACCATATTTCAGTAGGGGAAACCTCAAGATCCCAAGAGGTACTTTCATACAAAATTCGGCAACTGCTGGCGAGTATGCCCTTGACAAAGCTATGCAGTTTAATAAAGGGCCATAACTCTGAAAATAATTCGGAAAGAGACTGGATTTCAGTATGTGACGCTTCCCAATAGAAACTTGCACGATAAGTTTGGCCATTGCGAGTGGCAGACTATATAAGATATGCCCCGACAAAGAGACGCACAGATGGAACAAGTACCAGTGGTGGACTAATTCATATTAGTGGATTACTTTTCCCCTTAATATTTCGAATCAAATCAAGTCAATGAACAGAAAATGTTCTGTCATCTTTATTAAAAACAAATTTTCTTCATTTTCCTACCCAATACCGATATTGTACTTACATTGTCTGCATCGAAATTCAACGGATGTGGACATCTCTTTGGACCAGACCAAAATGGTGCTCCTGAAGTTGTCAACTAGAAAATAATAAGTACTGTTTTTATTTGGTATATATGTTAATGGTTTGACCTAGTAATTCATATGGAGGCATACAATTTTCTCTCTCTTTTTCCTGTGTGTAAGATAGAGCTGTCCAGGGTAAGAAAGGGTTGAAGGAAATTTCTATCTTACACCCCATTTCATGTGACGTGACATCACAATGGCTCAACAATGACGCGACGTCACAAATTTGGAACTCTCCGATGCCGCAATGAAGGCGACGTGATGAAATTAAAACATTGTTTGCAAATATTGGATATGCTTAATCTGGCTGGCTGATTCGTTTTTGTCTCAAAAGCTCAGGGGGGTAATTTATATTTTCAAAATGTTGGCCAGTCCAAATGCATTTCCATGATTTCTGGTGGTTGGAATGAGAGAAAAATACTCTTTCATTCCCAAGGGTGTAGGATAGGAACATTCCACCCTCGGGATTTTCAAATTTGGCAAAACCCTCGGCTTGAGGGTGGAATGTCCCTATCCTACACCCTTGGGCATGAAGGAGTCTTATTATCCTTAGAGTACCAGCCAAACAAATTTTGAAAAATTATGCAAGTCTGACCCTATATTCATAATTACTATTTGAAAATTCTCCAGTCCTGACACACAACATTTGTAAGCCCGGGACATTAAGCTGATGTTACTGTAAACCTTGCTATGAAATAATGACAGATGCAACACTGGTTGTTCAAAATCAAGGAAACGGCTCCATTCCATACCTGCTTATATCACAAGTACCACACATTGTGTGTCAAATCAAATTCACCCAACACTTTTGTTATTCAGATTAACATGTGCATATTTTATCACACAAGACATCTTTTCTCACCTGATCCGGAGGGAAGTTAAACAGCAGCTGGCTTATATTATTGTGGTAATTGACCTGGAAAAAATTCCGAGCAAACGACACGCAGTCCTGGAAGTTGTTGGGTCGTTCACTGATCAGGGCTTTGAAAACTGTTTCCATTGTGTCAACCTGTGAAGTTATAAGTTAGAACACAGTGAATATAATTCACAATACTATTGTTAATAACTTGTTATTGATTTAGAAAGGAAAACAGTTTTTACCACCGTTTTTAATACAAGAAATGTTCAAGTCGGTGATTTTTAAATATTACAAAACACAATTGTTTTCACATCTTATGCAAAAGCTTCATAGAAAGTCTTTTACTTTATACAATATTACAGAAGACATGAACAATTTCTAGGAATTCATTTACTCATCCATGTATTGATTTCAAAAATGTATATAAATACAAAATAAAAGCACAATGGTGAATTTTCAATTTGCTTTCAAACAGTTGATTTGACATTTTTCATCAAAAAGCAAATAGGATTTGATTTTTTCCCAGGGATGTCCTTTGTCCATTTTTACCAAAAGTTCAATAAGGAAACTAAAACAATTAATCAAAACCTATTAACGCCCTCTCCATAAAAAGGCAGCTTTTAGTTGTCCTTCAACTAGTCACTATGGAGTGATTTTCTGAAAACATTTCCTTACACAATGGGTGCCTTGTAGCTTAAGTGTCCTCTCCATGAACTTTGGGTCGTTGATATACTGAAGAGCTACTTCTACTGGTTGATTGAAGACGCCTTCAAACTGGTCTCGTGCCCACTAAAAACCAATTTATTTTAATCAGCATTACAATAAGAACAAAAAGTAACCTGAAGAAATTATGTACCGGTATATGAATAACTATAAATGTATTTGACAAGTTATTAACTTGTCTGATAAAATATCCTCTTCTTATAAAAACATCCAGTTCTTTAAATGGTGATTAAATGCAGTGCTTATTAGGCATCCATAGGTACTAACAATAAATTGATGATTTGATACAATTAAAGCAAGCAGTACCTGGGTCTTTATTGTGTAGATCTTTTCTGTCATTGAAGAGCTTTTTTACATGTATTTTCTGTTTATTAAATTTGAAAAAGTATTTCCACTGATTAAAGGGACATCACGTGAAAAGGCGTTTTTTTTTTAATGAATATATGTATTGTATGCACTTCCACTTATGTTACCACGCTATCCCCATATTCATAGTCCGTTCCAAATGTCCAGTTTAACCACTTGAATTGTTCGGGAAAGCCCTGCTAAAAATAGCGCCGATAACGTCACCTGACTAGGCAGTAAACACAAGTGGTGCGAGCAAGATGAAACGGTTTTCAAAGGGGCCCCCCAGAGAGGGGCCGTAAGGCAACTGCAACTTCTTACCGCACTATGAAACTAAGTTATATGATTTCTAAGTCCGTATTCAAACTTATTGAACAGTAATTATTCATCATTAGAAGTTTATTGCACACTTGCCGATATTCAGAATTTAAATTTATTTAGCTTTAAACATAAATTTGTTGCCAATAAAATTAAACAAGGGATGGGGCACAAGTTTTTACAATTTATCACAGCCTTCTCCCTTCATACATTTACAATCAAATGTCAACAATGATAATAGGCATACACATAAAGTAGATATATTTAAATATATATTGAATTTGGTACCGGAATGTGGCCGGTACAGATGGTACGGGGCTAAATACCTTCCCTACACCAAGGGACAAACCTTTCTGATTTTTTTTTATATGTTGCCGGTGCAGTGGAGGCCGGGTATTCATATTAGTACTAATTTAAATCTTGCATGTAAAAACAAAAATAATCGTTTAATTCAGCAATATAATTAAATCATACCATTTTATTGAACCCGGTAATATTATAAATTATGTAAATCCACGGACTTCGATAACACGTATCTCGGTGACCCAGAAAATACGCCGTGGGCCATCACAACAGTTATCCCTTGGAGGGCCTCATGGAAAAATCAAACTAACCAGTCACTTATCCCTTCCTTTCGCATAAACCACTGTATAATTATAGAAACACAAAGTAAACTCTCTCCAATACATGCCCATTAACATATTAAACTAAGTTCATCTGTGTTCAAACTCAGACAAAGATACTAGCGAGCTTAATAGTTTTAGATATTTATTCATAACATAAACAGCGCTAGCATTTCTGTCGATTCCATTTCAGCTTAACCGGCTATCCGGAAGAATACATGCACCGTACTAACTGCTACGGCAGTTATTTTCTCCTTTGAATACTGCCCACCTGCAATAATGATTCCGTAACGTACTCCTTGCGCTATCTTTTGACCATTTGGCAACTTTTCGTTTCGTAGCTGACACGGTACAACACTTTTCTTTCGCTTACTTCACACGGCCAGTCATTTTGTTTACAAAGAAATGGTGTGCTATGCGCATGCGCTAGTAGAGGGAAATCCCTAAACAAAACGTTGGTCAGACAGGTAGAAATACCGATGATTTTCTTAGATTTAATCATTTTTATGAATCTATTTCAGCCAAATCCGATCGTTATTTTCCATAAGGAGTCTCACTTGATATGTTTATGTAGTATTTGAAAAAAAGACAAAAAATAAAGTTACTTCACCGTGATGCCCCTTTAACAGTTTACTAGTAGTTGGACCAGTGGAAGATATTTCTTGGAGATCTGACACAAACAAAATTGGAAACCATGAGCTAACATGTGCCATCACAAATTCGAACTATACCAATCCTATAAATTTAACAGTGCACAAGACTATCAAAACATTAAACAGATGATGTTAAAATGTTTCCTTACCTGTAGCGTATGTTCAATCGCGTTGGGAAAGTTCTTGAGGGTACAGGTGGGTATGGATTTCTCTGGTGGATCTTGCGACGAGGAGTAGGACTCCGTAACGTGAGGAATAACTACCTGAAACAACACATCATACGTAACTTTGTAGGAGCAATAACTTAACTAGGGGAAAGGAGGGGAGTTGTTGTTCCATGCTTCTACACATTCCATTATATCTGTAGTGTGATACTTAAAAACTGTAGCAGACATTAAATATCATAGTTGTTTTTTCTAGTAAACTCCATGTCCACAAAGCAAATATAACAGATTGCTTTATCACCAAAACTTTGAAAAAAGGAGGTAATGCTCCTCAAAATATATTTTCGATATATTTACTAGTACTAACTCCCATTTCAGTAAAACCATTAACATCTCATTATACTGCTATCTTTTGTTTAATGACATTTTTGCAACATCGATTTTTTGTGGTATATCAAGGGAGACAAGTGAAAAGAAACTGTCCAGGAAGAAGGGATTGGGGACCAAGGAATAAATTGGTTGTAAGAAATGTGCAACATGATACGAGGGGTATAGCAATTATTTTTTACTGTAGTTCTAAATGTTGCTCAACTATACAGCAACTTACTTGTACGTTTCCCTTTGTTCCTAGAGTACCAGACTCCAGTAAAGGTTTACGGTAGTATACACATCGTCTGTCCATGTACATTCCTGAAGAAAAACCATAGAATCCATATAAACTTAAGTATGTTGTAAGGCAAAAAATACCCAGGAAAATCTATTTTTCAAAATTATTTTTAATTTAGAATTTTCATTTTACCCTCCCCTTCTACATTTTAAATAGATGTCCAAGGGACTTAGCGGTCACCTGAGTTATATTATAGGTACTAGTAGCTCAATTTCATTGTTGAGATGTACAAAATGTGGGAAACAACATGTAAACAAAGTGAAATACAATACTTGTCATGTCACCAAAGGATAAGAACTTTAAAAACTATTCAAATAAATTATTTTGCTATTGAGAATTATACCCTCTCCCTTGCAGATGACCTGGGGATAATGAAATTTACAATTACCACCCTTCCAGTCCCTGGGAACGAGGCAGGATCTTATTTTCTCATATCATCTAATTGTCATCTGGCATCGTAATCATTCCTACCATGTTTGAATAATTTCCTGCTGAAAATGGATAAAATAACCCCAAAATTGTTTTTCCCTATATAAACTAAACTTTACCCCCTCACTAAAGGAGAACTGATGGTCCGGGGGTAATAAAAATCAAAAAATAAAGTTCCTGACAGAATTTTCATCTATGTATAGAATTTGATTGTACTACATCTGAGACGGAAGAAGATTTAAAAAAAAAAATGGTTTATTTTCCCTTTGGGCCCCCGCCATTGCCCCTGGGGTTTGGGAAGGAATCCTGATTTTACAATTGGATACCATCTTCCTCCAAGGATGACTCTCACCTAGTAAGAATAAATTCCTACTGAAAAAGAACAAAATATACCCAAAAGTTTTATTTCCCTATATAAACTTAACTTTACCCTCTCTCCAAGGGAGATCAAATGGCCCAGGGGTACTGAAATTTACAATTTAAATAAAGCCCCTATTATCTTTCCATCCATGCAGAGATATTGACTGTAGTTCCTCTGAGTTTGGAGAAGAAGATTTTATAAAATATTGGTAAATTTTCCTTTTGAGGCCCCCTGGGGTTTGGGTAGGTATCCCAATTTTACAGTCTCATCTACCAAGGATGATTCTGACCAAGTTTGAAAAAATTCCATCCACTGATTCTTGAAATTTGAAATTTCGTTTAGACCTGACAATTAATACCTACTTGCATCAACATTGTCCAAGGCATTAGCAACACCATCGAGCTTCTCAAAGAAGTCATCAGTGTAGATGTTTTCTGTTTCTGCTCCCACACGGTTCTCCTGTGACAGGATATTTAAGTTGGGGTTCATCTCTTTAGCAGCATTGGCCGCTGTCGATGACTTGTGTTTCTGTATGTCCCAGGGTCGGAACAAGAACTGCCTGTTAAGGTTAGACTTCTCTATGATGTCCATGTCGGTGACAATGATTTTCCCACCTTCTCCTGCCCCGAGACCCATCAAAGCCCAATTCTTCAGCATTTCACAGCCAATGGCTCCCGCTCCAACCTATAATATAACATATACATCAAGCTCGAGTGATCTGTATTTATTCAGCTAACATTCTGTTGCAAAGGACATTTGGGTCTAGAATAAAGCTTAGAACTTTTTAAATCCATTTTACATCAGAGAAACACATAGTAAGTTATATATCTATTTGAAATGCTAGTGAACTTACCAAGAAGTAATTCAATGAGCCCATTTTCTTCTGGAAATCCTTTCCAAATACAGCAACCTGTCCATCATATCGACCATTCACCTGTCAAACAACAGAACACTTGCTTGACAAAAGGTTACAATATAACTGTAAACTATACTGTAATATTTACTTTGTTACACTATCAAACTTCAGCAAATGATTGAAAGTGTCATTTTTTTCACATTTTTTGGGTTTTCTTGATTACAAGTATGCTTAGTGCTTAGTGCCAGATCATCAACTGTCAACCTACCTATGACAGACTGAAACTGTTTACCTAGTAGTTAGGAAGTGTCTTCATGCTACCCCTATATGTCTATTTCTGAAATAACCTTACAATAAATCAATGACCTTTTCTCAACAATCAAAAGCCGTCATTCAATTTTTAAAACCTGCCGGTGCAATCAACAGCATTTCTAGCACTTTTGTGATGTAGACTCACCGGTGCACAAGACTCCTCAGTAAGGACTGTATCCTTGTCAGCAGGAAGGCACTCCAATGCGTCAAAATACACAAACTGGAATATAGGGTTAAATTTGCCAGAGCAGGCTTTCATCACCTCCTGGGCTGTCATGCCTCCAACAATGGCTGCCACAGGACATATGTCACCTCGGGCAGTGTAGGCCAGCTCTCGCAGGACATCGTCATCAAAGTCATCCACCTTGGCTTCAGATTTACTGTTGACTTCCTTCACCATGGCAACAAACTCATCAGCGTCAGCCTAAAACATAAACAAATATATAGTATACTGATCAGTTTAAGATGATTCTTCCTTTTTTGGCAATTGGTCGAAAAAAGCATTTTGAAGTAACTTATAAGTTTGCTTGCTAAATCAGATTAGTAATGTGGATGAAGTCTGGACTTGTTTATATAATAAGAATTTCTTTTATTTGGAATCAGGTAAGAAGAAAAGGAAGTGAAATACAGAAAGTTGCAAGCAATTTGCAAGCAATTTGCAAGCACTCAAAATGTCCACGACAGTTTGAAGGTGTTTTTCATCAAACCAATACCCTACAATTGCTAGATAGATGACAAGAATGAAACAAGTGACTGGAAGAGGTACCTTGCATCTGCTCCTTGGTAGACAGCCCTTTGCCTTATTGAACTCAGTAAGTGCCTGAAACGCTACGTGTAACTGGGCTGGACGGTCAAACTTGGCGAAATCTGTGATCACACACTCTGGAGCTTTCAGAGATTCGGAAATAGATTTCTGCAAATAAAGTTACTTCATGTTTATTATTTTTTGCTGATGATCTGATCTATCTGGTCTTTATTCTTATTGTTGTATTAACTGTTGGATTGGTATTTTGTTTAACGTCCTATTAACAGCTTAGGTCATTTAAGGATGTGCCTCCATGTGTGTATAGTGTATGCATATTGGAACAAAAATTTAAAAAGATCTAAAATTCATGCAATGTTTGAAGATTAACCGTTGTTACATTTCAGTTTCAACATTTTTTATTTTTTCTTTTATCAACAGATATATTTACCTATGTTTCAAATAGCTTTACAAATGTAAACCTGCAATGTATTGTATACTTACAAATGTAACTGTTTGTGGCATCTTGACTTGCGTGACCACACCTCCTCGTGCATAGTCGGAGAATCCCGATGTATCCCCAATGCTGAATGTAAAGGGTCCTATGATGGAAAAAAGGTGAAGTTATTTTTCTATTCCACATATTCCCCTTCTGATCACATAATTTTCTATGTTTGCCTTTTTACAGAAGAAAAAAAGTGTGATATATGCTCTGTTACTTTCTGATTTAAAATATAAAAATAATATGGCAACTTTATGATTCACAAGCATTTGCACAGGGAGTTTCAAATTATAAATGAAATACTCTGCTCATTGTTTTAATGTCATTATGTGTCCAGTGTTTTCCCCGTTTCAACTTTTCGTCTCAGGAAAAGTTACATAATCCTTGAAAGAAATTTTAAAAAAGATCTCAATATTTATGTGACAATCACTTTAAAATGTGATTGACAAAATTATTAAATCATTATTTCTGGAAGCAAAATAAAAGATTCAAAATACAGTATTGTACCAAGACGAGAAAGGATAGTGAATTACATTTTCACTAAACTTTCTTACCTAGAACTTTGATTTTGCGTGGTGTACAGCTGTTGAGCTGTGTCATTCCCTTGATCTCAGCAAAGGTAACATGGTCGCCATCCGAGTAGCCATGTCGAGCCTCGTCTAGACAGGTCACTATACCATCTGTGTCGGTCGTGATGGAGGCAACCATATTGCTGATTGGCTGTTCTCCATCGTTATCGTACACTGTAAACTCCTCGCCAAAGTCACAGAAAATCTTCCTGTCGACAGTAACATAAATTACATCATTGATGGTGGGCTAAAAATATACCTTTTTGAACAATCATGTAAATCTTTTGATCTATGAAACTGAACAATATTCACAGCACAATTAAAGGGCCTTTACCATATTTGATGCTTTCAAATACAGAATTGAGGAAGTACATACTATTCTGAAACCCATTCAACTGGTAAGCAATGAAAACACCCTCCTTTAAACCGTATTTTACACACGGGTAAATGTGCATAATTATAAGCAAATGTCGACAGAACCAAACTTATGGGGATATTTGCACAGACGATCCAGCTCTGTGCCATAAGCATAAATTATCAGACTGTTATTTCCTCATTTATTGTTACATTTTCATCAAAATAATTATAAAACAAATTGAACAGCATGATAAACAACACTTACCCAAACAAACCCCTTGATTCCGAAGCTATAAAGCGGATGTTATTGGCATGGCACATGTCTCCAATTCTCACTTGTTCATCCGTGTCGGAGTTGGTCAGCACAACCACCTACAACAAGATAATACCAAGATAATTTTGATCAGTGGCACTAAGAAATACAATGGTTTACAATGGAAAAATCACAAAAAAATCACAAAAAATGCTACTTCTCTGCCGTGTAAATTAATTAGTTAAATTGTCTCAATACCCATTGAGATGTATACCCCTTAATCATCAACAGAACAGGAATCAATCCTTAATGGCCATCACACTAAATGGTTAAAATATGAAATTGAGAAAGTTTGTGACTATGTATTAAGGAATGTTCTCTCTGTTTTGTGCTCACTACATAGGGCTTCATCATTTCCAAGACTGTTGGAGCACACACAGTGAAAGTGACTTCATGAATCATGAAATAACTGTGCAAGTCAAACAAATTCTTTCCCTACCTGAAATTTCTTAATGAAGTCCTCTGTTAGCTCCTCGGTGTGAGAATTAACTGGAACATAATTATTCAACTCTGCAAGACGAGGGAGGGAAACAACGGCACGGTTCTTTCCTAAATCAGCCTCTCTCAGGAAAAACTTTAAGTAAAAACAGTGATGCTTACAAGGAGCAAAACGAAAAGATTAAAAGGATAAGACGAAATCATTTTCTCCAAGGTTGTGGATATATATATCCAGAATTCAGTAAAACAATACAATATAGATATCAAAATAATAAAGTTGGAAATAGAAAATATGACTTCCATCAACAAGAACAATATATTAACAACAATTGATATGTTAAGTGTTTCTGGTCTTTCTAGTCTATTGATTATTATTTGACAATGTTAACCGATTCTAAACACTACTTCGTATGTGCAAATACATCATTTTTCACAGTAAAATATTAAGTCAACAAATATACATACAAAATACATGGATAAAATATCTCCACTCTCAAGAGGAAACAACTGAAGTTTTTTGAGTTCCTTCTTTTAACTTCAGTGAGACTACAATCAGCACTTTCCATAATTTGAGCTGGTGTTTTTACAGAATTAGCACAAATATGAAGATAAAATGTACACTTCATATATAAAATTAAAATGTTTTCTTTTCAAAAGTTTTCCTACTTGTGAACTAAAATCCATCCAGGCAACATTCTCCGTGTCTTGAATGGTTACAGACTTGACTCCGGCAAGGACAACATTCTTTGCCACCTCCATACCAAGGCCTTTCATCCCACAGATAAGGACATTGGAGTTCGCCATCCTCCGCATGGCCTCGTGTCCCAGTACATATCTAAAAACAAAATACCAGAGTATATTAGTGTGCTTAAAATTGTATTTTTGCTTTTTGGGCATCTTGAATAAATGGCTATTCAAATCTTTCCAACCACATACACAGCTCTTCAGGTATAATATATATGTATCACAGATAGAAATGGGATTTTTTAATCAGGGGTTTAAGCTTCAGGAATGGTTTCTTAATCACTACATGGTTAAACTTTATTTTACAACAGTTATTAAGTTGTACTCTTACGTCGGAAACCAGAGTACCCAGAGAAACCAACTTGGTCAGGCAGGTGACTAGAAACCAATCACATCTAAAAAAAAAAAAAAAAAAAAAAAAAAAAAAAGGGGGNGTGCTCTATACTACTAATGTATTGGAAAGAACATCATAAGAAACATGAAATACAATATACTTACAACTGTCTGGAATACAGACTTTCATCAATGTCTCCCTTTTTTCCTGCCCCATTTTGTGCCATAGTCTGAAAGACAAAAAATAAAATAAAATACCCACAAAAAACATCCTTTTAAAGGACTTCAATTTGATAAAGAACTGTGACCAGTACCTGCAACAAAGTGGATTAATTATAGAATCTTCTCCTACCTTGAGATTATGACAGCGAAACTCAAACATTCTAAGCGATTATTCTAAATAAACACTCAAGAGTGTTGAAGATTTTTTTCTGTGGCACTCTCAAAATAGGGGATGATTATTTTTCTCCAATACCACATTGAAAACTATAGCTTTCAGCATTTGTAATCTGTATTTATTCTGGATTTGTATATGACCTCTAGCCTCCAGTTGAAAGAGCTGATTGTGTGTTGTGATGTCATATGCGTTTGTTCTAGTGACATCATAGTATTGTTTCTTTTAACATTATGTCTGCCATTCCCTAGCTAGGGGTTGACAGAGAAACCATACCCTGGTGCACAACAGAAAAATTAAAATTATCAACAAGTAAAATTCGGTGAATGGTGGCCCTTATGGGAGAATATATGTTTCAGGCATCAACTTTCACTTCCATCTTTAAATTTTCACCCTATTTTATAAAGATTTATTATTGCATGCCAATTAAGCAGCAAGGGTATTCAATTAATATAATTAGTCATAGTAAACTGAAAACAGCCTAATGCCGTATAAATATTTTTGTGTCTACCCAGGGAATTGTTCCACATTTGCAAAACAGAAAGTCGACACCCTATATAGCTAGTAATAATTATCATACACCCATGTAATGGTCAATTTAGAAATTCAATCAAAGCACAGTATTACCATATATAATTAAATACATTTTGTAAATACAGCAGTACAAACTATATACATAATGTTTATGTTAAGCATTGTTCGTCTTGGTACATAATGTTTACTGTAAATTTTTATTTGTTCCATCTGAACCAATTTAAAATCACAGAAAATTTAGCTTCACCTCATACCGAAAAGATTTCAGACAACAATTATAATCATGACATGAGAACTAATTATGATGCATCACAGAATTACATTGTATGTATGTGCCAAATGTTATAACTGACCTTTGAAACAGTCCTAGATGTCCATATAAAAATACAAAACTACTTTATATATTATGTCTATAACATACAGAGCTCCAGCTCAACAGGAAGTATTTATTTAACAGTGTACTACCTAGTTCTCTGACCCCAATAACAGTTTCAATTCCAGGAAAGCATTGTATTTCAGGAAACTGTAGGAGTGGCTATAAAGGCGATGTCTAGAACATTCCACACCATGACATCACTATCTGTACTTTCATTTTACAAATCTATATATAGCTATGATGATAACTATAGTAGTAATAATTATATAGATGTACTTGTAAAATTGTACTTTCAGTTTACTATACATTTACATTTGTATAACTACACTCACAGCTACAGAACATGGATACAAATATACACGTACTAATCAGTAAATAATTATATAGATGTACATGTAAAATTGTACTTTCAGTTTACTACACATTTACATTTGTATAATTACACTAACAGCTACAGTACATGAATACAAATATACATGTACAAATAAGTAGGTCACATCAGTTACATGTCTACAGTTCTTAGCCTTAAGCAGGTTTGCAAAGATTAGAATTACCAGTACAGTATAATTTAAGATATAAAAATAGTTGTTGTGATGTCTTCTAAACCAATTTTTCAGGTTTACTTTGTACACATGGCCGGTAGCTGGTAAAATACTCTCTTACTATGTACAGATAGACCTTTAATGAAAAAATTAAAAGAATGGATATGAGGTACTATATAGATACATGATATATACAAAACCTAATGCCTACTTTGTGTTTGGACATACGAAACTTGAAATCTTATCGAAACACCTGATTTTTACAAACTTTTCAAAAAAAAATCAAATTTAATCTGATTTAGTTTCTCTTTGAAAAATAGTTGTTTTCTGGTTTACTAAAGGATGCTGATTTAGTCACAAACAATACCTTTAATGCCATCTTACAAATCTCATATGGTAGTAGTGTAGACCTTGAATGTTAAGAAGGGTGTTCAACTGGCTGCCATTTGTAAAGTGTGCAATGAAAATATGCATTGATTTGTCATTACTGTGGCTTTAATGTGGGATAAAAATTAATGCTGTCCAAATGATAGGCGTCACAACAATGCTTTTATTTATATTCAACTAACCTTGCTCTAAATGTATTTTAACCATGATCTTTGCAAACTCATTTATTGCCAATGTAGATACAATCACATTAACCATGCAAATACTTTTGTACTACCTACAATGCAATGGATCACAGCAAAGTGTGTTCACCGTTTTACTAATACACATATGCATGTATGAACTTATACAATTTGTATGTACTAGTACAATTTTAATAATGGTTTTTTTTTCAATATGTAAACCTGATTTATGTGCAAGTTCAACGAGGAAAAAAGTGACACACACACACACACAGGTTAATAAAGTGTTTTTTTTTTATTAAACCTATAAGTTTTGAGTCTGTTCCAATGCCAGTTATGAAGTGGAACAAAGCATGTCTGCTCACACAATGCCAGCAGCATGCTACATTATTGATGTCTATGTAATCCTTTTTGCTTACCCTGATGAAAATGATCGATGAAATATAACCTTAGCTGACGTGAGCAGGGGGAACCAACAATCAATTAAATGATCTTTGGACATAAATTTGCAAGCAATTCAATATATAGTATTTCTGGTCTTTGTTCTCTCAGACCTGGAGAAACATGCAATTTTTATACTGCAGGTAACTAAGTTGAAGCAGAGTATGTATATTGTCAAGTATATACATATCATATTATATTAGATACATGTAATGAATGTTATACATGTATATTGGACAAGCTCTTTTTGGCCACGAGGTCCAAGATCAAATGCAGTGATTAACCTTACAATTTTGAACCCGGCTGGTATATATGTTAGAAGGCAAGAATTGGGATCCTAGTGACATTGGGGGAAATTGTGTTGGACCTCTAACTAATCATGTTCTTTAATCATTCTTATCTACTGTAATACAGCAACTAATGCATTTTTTCAAAACTTTATACAATACTTGATGTTCCACAATATCACATGAACTCCATGACACCACTGCTGTGAGAAAAAGAGTCAAAATATTGGGTATGCTGTTACCGTCACATTTGAGTGATTTATTCGGCCAGTTTTAAAGTTGAATACAGAACCCCACCCTCCTTATAAAAAAGAGCTTAATTTTCAAAAAAAAAAAAAAAACAGAAAGAAAAAGAACAAAGAGGAATAATTCCTCCAATTACAATAAAAAAAATATTGCTTAATTTTCCCAATTTATGTTACAAATGTGTGCAACAGGCAGCAGTAAAATCGAAGTAGAAAAACACACTGAACTTATATAAAAAAGATGTGCATTAAAAAGTTTGGCTTACCATGTGCATGCATCAACTTGATCAAGTGTACTGTGTTTGCACAGGAAATCAAGTACTTCCATCTATCTGTACTATTTATATAGATTGTATCTATAATGTACAGCAAAACATACAATTTATAAAGATGGTATCTAGTTGTCAGCCAAACACACTAGTGTATAGTGTCCAACAGTGTTAAGTTTAGGTGGTTAAGAATAGGAAGATCTTAGTAGTTGGCAAGAAAAAACATCTCTTATTGATTAACAGCACATCACAGATCTAGAAAAGTGTGAAGAAATCTGTTTAAATTGCAGAATGCACAGCAATTCATTTTAAGTCAATTCTGAATGATATAAGGAAAATTCCTCTCAATAGTTTTTAGTCATTTTTATGTGATAGTTTAAATTTTGTGAAATCATTTCATTGATGAAATATTTTATTCACTTTCATATTTGCTATTTTCCATGTCTGTGCTGTTACTTTCATGTATATATGTATGTATATAAATGAATTCTTCCGTAGCTTACATGTCTCTTACTGGTCATGACTTTTTCACTTCAAAAACATGTCTTAATATTTCAATGATAAATTTTACATTAATTGGTCAAAAATTAGAACCGATTTGTTTAATTTTTAACTTGGGCAATTAGACCCATAGGTTCTTCCTTATTTTCTTCAATCTATGAAATGCTGTATTTTGACAAGAAAACAATAAGGACAGAGACTTTCTCAAATGAAATGATAAAAAATGTTTTATGATTCAGCCTGTACGACAGTCATGACTGACTTTGATTACTAAATGAAAATGAAACAAATACAACTTATAGACAACTAGTGTAACAAGGCAATCCATAGTCCCCCACCGGCAATAATTTCTATATTTAACAAACAGTACACTTACATGTATGTCAGGATGTACCTCTACTTTTAGGAAATTAAAGTATCCTGATACATACTTCTTACACTCCGCAATCCCAAGATGGCCTTGTACACCAAATCTGGTTTAATTTCCCCATGTGAAGTAGTATAGAAGATATTCCCCGGACAAACATTTTCAAAAGTGATGGTCAAAGGTCAAGTTATAGGTCAGAGTGACCTTAATCTTGCACTCTGTAATCGTCAACTTAATCTTGCACTCTGCACTCGTCATCCCAATATGTCCTTGTACACCAAATCTGGTAACTCTAGGTAAAATAGTATAGAAGATATGCCCCTTCTTGGATGAAAGGACGTACAGACGGAGTGCAAACATATATCCCCCTCCCTCGAACCGTGGGGGGACTACTAATCATGTACGCCTTGACAATACCTCTTTTGACTTTAATGTTGAACGTTTGCCCTGGTGAGCTACCAAAGTCCTTAAAAATGGTAGTTGTTATATTCCCTGCTTAAACGATCAGCATGGATAATCCTAGAGGGGGCAATGGGGACATTGACCCCACAAAACTGAAATTGACCCCTCCATGTTCCAATTTTCTTTGACTTACATAGAAGGACCTCTCTTAATTTTGATATTGACTATAAATTGCTGAAAATGGCCTACTGTCTCAAATTCCAGGATTTTCCCTGCTAGTTCAGCCGTTGTCAGTATAAAGTGACCAGATGAAATGATGTGCCCCCTGGGTGCCTTCCCGTTGTATTTCGGTGAGATGTTCTGCCTTGATAAAATAACACTATATGGTGTACATGTTCTGTAATTATAATTTATGTAATGTATGTACACTCCAGTTTAAAACTACCAATTTTGACATCAGTCATATACAATAAAATACCTCCTTGTGGATTATAACTTTCAAAGACCTGCATGTTCATTATTTAAAATCCAAAGTTTCCAAGGTAACTTTTTCGGTACAGTAGTAACTTTATAGGTTTAGTGGATTGAGTCTTTCTATATATATACCCAAGCCTAGCTAACCTTTGATAGATTTGACTGTCTTGAATATGAATCAGATTCTATGATTTACTTTTCACTATAACCTGAAGCTATTTTTAAATCATATCTTGCTGCTTCACAGATATAAAGTAATTTCCAATAGCATCCGTTTGACTGCAGAGATTCATTGACCCATGTTCTGACTTGAATGAACACTTCTGAATGAACCAGGGATATATATTTGAATTGATGCCTGCAAGGTTTGAGGAAGATATATTTTGCCCTAGATTTGAAGTAGCTATGGGTCAGCATAGATAAGTAAAATCACAAAGTAAAAGGTAAATGTATTAACAACCAACTTCTATATTAAACACATTAATAGCTGCAGTATTTATGGTGAACTTTTGTCCCATTTTACTGCCGAAAAACAGACTATTCCCCGAGGAAAAAAGCACTTTATTTTCCAAAAACAAAGACAAAACAAGGCATAACAAGTAATACAAATCCCCTTGCATATAAACCTGAACTTGTTCAAGCAGTGTTTTAAACTAAATTTTACAACAGCCTGTTCTTTTATGAATTGGGAAAATATAGCATTATTTTTATTAAAATTGGGAATAAATTCCTCATTTTGTTGTCATTTTGGGAAAATAAGGCACGTTTTAGCTAGGAGAAACAGCCTTTATTCGTCTGTAAAACCCAGCAAAAAAATTGCTGTCAAGGCATTGTCATACCAAACACTTGTATCAAGTTTACTGAAATTCAATTGAGTAAGCGATGACCAAGTTTTTTTTCTAAAAATAGTACCGGTAAGTGACCTTGACCTTCAACGTAGAAACTTGTTCGAGGCATTTGAAATCGTTATAGAACGATGACAAAGAGTGCAACATACGTACATGCAGGTTGAATCCCATATCCTCCTCTTGAACTTTCGTTGAGAGGGGATAAGAGAAACGTCTTCCCAATTCTAATAGAAATTTTGCTATATTATCCTTTAAAGTAACTTTAAATGTACCATATACATAATCATCATTAATTTCCAATCCATTAATTTACAATGTCTACAATCTAAACTATGGTAGGAAAAACAAAAATAAAAAGATTTCAAATCACCTTACAAACCAATTAATGAATCATAAAAGACAGAGGTTCAGTTATATTAAACTTTCAATCTGGATAAACATGTCAAGGAGCAGGTTGAGGAAAATAAGAAAAATCAAGAATTTTTATATTTATATATATTGTATATATATCTAAAATGTTTCATGTACCAGATAATTTCTGTAATTTTATATTGTACATGGTGTGCCCGATGGATAGACATCTTGAGATCCAATACCTTATACATGTAGATGTACATCTAATTCTTGTCAAGATAGAAATCTTGAAACACTAGTGCCGTCATTTAACCTGAAATTGGAATCTTTATATATTTTAAAACATTGGAACTGAGAAATTTGTTTTATGAAGAAATTATTGGTTTAGATATATGTGTTTTTCAACCTGCAAACTTTAACACATCAAGTGAGACCGGAGAAGGGATAGCTGCAGTCACACCAAGGATTTACAAACAAACACAACAACATTTACCATAGGAGCCTTTGCAACCTTTGAGCCCATACACAATACCTGAAAGTAGCAGAGTGATATAACAGCCTTATTGTATTGACATCTTTCATTAGTATTGTCATGTATGTGTGTGATAATAAAGAATATATACTACATACATTTACATTAACTGAGATATGGTTTGCGCGGTCTCCTTTAAAATCTTTATAGCATCGTCTTAATTAAAGTTTATATTCAAATTCTATTGGCAGGTACATATTCCCAAAACAGTATATATATCATTATATTATTGTGTGCACTTCATACACATGTATATAATTTGATACATGCATTGATTACGAGTCCGAAAAAAAACAATTGTGAAAGATGTTTTGAATAAATTTTACTCTTTTAAGCTTAGCATTACCCACCAGGCTTCAAAAACAAAGTATAATGTGACAGTGCTCAACATGGAACAGTCTGATATAAGTCTGTATTATACAGCATTTGTGAATTGTATCTATTCCAAAATATTTGCATAAAATGACTAATATGATGAGGTACATACATGTATCGTGTGGGACTTTGGTACACATATACTGATCATGACCACAAGTACTTCTTAGATCAAATAACAACAAGAAGTGACATTTACGACATGGAAGATCAAGAAATAACCTACATTTTGGATTGTTATTGGGTACCTGGCATTGGTAAATGAAAACTCTGTAATTAGCCTTTCCAGTTTGAATATTTACACCTTTGATGGTCATCATGCAACTGAATACACCAGGCAAAGTATTTTCCTCAAGCATGCATGGCTACACTTCGTTATTGTAATCAGTATAATTAGGTCAAACAAGTTGTTTATTTTTCTTTGCACGTCAATATCATTGTCAGGCCTAGAAGTGTAAAAGCAAATGCAACAGGAGTAGTTAGGAAGGCTGAGCAGCACAATCTGCTATTTCAACACAACCCTTCATACCGCCCATCGACTTGCACTTCCTTATCCCTGCAAAGACTTGTATCAAAATTGTAAATATAAAGAAAAATTGAAGGGTCCTCTTACTAAGATATAAGAGTGGGTTCTAAAAGGTACCCCAGGGAAAACATGAGTCCAGGGCCCATATTCACGAAACCGTTCTCATGCTGAAGTATGTGCTCAATAGACCACCTTTTTAATTTGTAACACACTTACAGCATGTGACACAATCAAAATGATTCTAAAACAGTATTTGACTAAAACACTCTCCAAAATTCTTTCAAATCACTGACAAAATGTGAAAATATTTAGTAATATATTCCTGTAACAAGAAATTGGGCTTCAACACAGAATCTGAGGTTGAATACGAGAAACATTTCATGAATATGGGCCAAGCACTCAAATATATGTGTAAAAGAAAGTTAGGTAATTTGTGGAATGAGTCACTTAACAATCACCAGTATTCCAGAAGATAATATGTAGGGATAGAAAACATAACACCTAACATTAAATATTTGTTGTTTTTGAATCCAGGTTATCCTCGACATGCTTCAATATCCTGATTTTATTAGAAACTTTTTGTCATTCCACAACAATTCCAGAGAGGAAATTTAAAACAAACACTTGTTCTATTGAAATCACATTATTGTGAAAGTCATCATATGACCTTTGGAAGAAGAATAAAATCCAAAACAAACAATTTGTCTCGGTTGCATCGCAATCTAAATGGTAGCCCTGGTAGAAACATATAGGTCTGTTGTCATTAAAATATCAAAGGGAAAATGGCTAAAATAGTGACAAAAAGAAGAATATATTGGAAATAGAAGATCAACTGACCAGGATCTGTAGCTTGTAGTATTGACATTTATCATATATAGTTTAATATTTGAGGTGGAAAATCAAGAGATTTTTATTGATCTTAAGGTGGATAAAAATACAGTAGTTAGCATCAAATTTGGTTTGGTTATTGAAAAAACGTCAACAAGAACATGTGGATGTAAGATAATACTGACTGTACTTGGGCCCTTTCATAGAAGAAGCCTGCAAGTTCAAAAGATGATCCGGTTTGGGTCACTGGACATAGCCTCAATTCAAAAGGCAAAATAAAAATACATCTATAACAAATTAAGCTAAAGAAAGAAACCAAGTAAAAAAAGTAAAATAACCTCCACTGAGTTCGACGATGCGTTTTCAGCTACACACGACTCTAACCGCGGTTTCTTGGCTGGGGGGTCCTCAGAATCGGTGCAACTGGACATCTGAAATGACACAAAGGAAGTCGAATTCATCCCTTACGTGAAGAGCACAGCGGCAAGATATGTGTCTTACTCTCCGTTTGATCAATTAAACTCACTGAATATACTACATAAGTATATGTCACCTGAATAAAGTTGCGAAACTGACCAGGAAAACTGCAGACGTTGCAGCTAAGCGGCTAAAAATATGGCGGACGTAAGGGAGACTGTCAACACGTGCGGCGGAGGGAATCGAATACTCTCGGACCGAAATAAATTATTGAGGCTCATTTGAATAACAAAACAAAATGTCAATCGAACACAACTGATCATATTCTTATGAAAAAACAGAACCCATAATTAATAAAAGAAAGAAAATAATGTGGAAATAATATGAAAACGTCACTTTTCAAAAGGGAAAATACCGGCAACCAAACAAAATTATTTCACCGATTGTTGAGACCACTTACCAAACTGCACCGGAGAAATCTGTCGCCTTACTTGAAGTGTTCCACGAAAATTATGAGAATATTCTTAATAAACAGCTAAATATATAGGTACTTTAAGTTATAAATAAATCGTATGCCACAAGAACAATGGTATCACAATCCCTGCTTATAGTGTCAGTGGATATATTTGACGATGACTTGGTAATCGGTGCGTATTCTACTTCCTGTTTCTATGTCATCCTGTAGCATTGTGGGTAATAATGATGATGTCACACACGCTAGCTTTCATTTTCGCTTTGTCTCATGCCAAACACAAGAAGACCTACTTTAGCCACATTTTATTTTAGCACTTTAGTTGCTCTACATACATTATAGTTTGAAAAAATAAAATGTGGCCATTACTTGTGGTTCTGAACAAGGTCGAATAAAAACAGGTTTTATCATGTTTAAAATTGTCCAATATACGCTCTAATTCAGGATATCGTTATTAACGTAGAACATTCAAACTGCATACTTTACATAAACAAATATTTATACTTTTAGTATCGACTGGTCTCAGGACAGACATACATTTGTTTATACTTGATACAATAATGAGAATTAAGCATCTGGAAAATATAAATAGTTTAGCCATATAATGGATTACAGATTACATGAAGGCGCGTGTCAGTATAAAATTATTGAACTCGTTAAATAAATTCGATATGACATATTGCTGGAGCTAGTGGAATTATTAAAATTTAAAACCGAGCCATCCGATCCAAATTTAGAAGACACGTATAATAAAGTGTGCAATGCTTACAGTTTACACGAATAAAAATAGAATAATATCAATGGCATTGTTATCTTCAGATTGGAAATTATTTCTACACGGTAAAGAAATATATTAACTAGTATCTGGCAAAGAAAGCCCAGTCTCTTTATATTGAATAACACTTCGCAGATCTAGAGGACGTGAAGAATTCTAGAATGCACAAAAAATAAATATAAGCCAGTTTTGAGTAATAATATAAAAACTCCGTTTAACAGATTTATAACAGAATGCGACTATAGCTATATAGAGTACTCCCTCGAGCAAAGAAACGCTAAAACTCGTTCATGCACAGGGGCGGTAGGATAGGGAAATTCCGCCCGAGGGGTTTTCAAATTTGGTAAAACCCGAGGATGGAATTTCCTTACCCTACACCCTTGGGCATGAAACGTATTTTTCTCTCAATCCAACCACCAGAATAAGCTCAGAAACCATGAAAATGCGTTTGGACTGGCCACCATTTTGAAAATATCAATCCCCCCGTGCTTTTTAGACGAAAACGAATTAGCCAGCCAGATTTAGCATATCCCATATTACACTGCGCAGAAAAATGTTCACATCTTTCTAACGTGTACGGTAAATATATCGTAAAAGGTTTAAATTTCATCACGTCGCCTTTCTCCGCATTGCGGCATCAGAGAGTTCCAAATTCGTGACGTCACGTCATTATTGAGCCATTGTTACGTCACGTCACGTGAAATGGGATGTAAGATAGAAATTTCCTAGCTCTATCTTACACACATGGAAATGATAGAATATTCCCAAAATGATAGATGAAAAATTTACAAATATATCACAATTTCAATAAATGCAATTGCTGTATTTTCTTAATATATATATGTACTTGAAGGCAGAGGCTTCTGTAAATTTAGACAGAATAACACTGTTTCCCACCCAATCTGGATATAAATATGAAAGGGCAGGTTGAGGATAGTAGGAAAATCAAGAATTTTCATATACAGTTGAATATCAAAAATATTTAATAAAACAGTTTACTTTTGTAATATTAGATTGTATACAAGTATATGGTGTTTCGGGGGAAAAGAATCTTCTCGGTAATATCGTACACCTATAAACCTGTGAGTGGCCTATTGATTTGTGCAAAGATTAAAATCTAGAATAGTGACAGTGTCAGAGTCTGAAATAATAAGACTTTGTCATTTTTGTTGCAACACATATTGTTTTCTAGCAATATCATCATTATCTATTATTAGACATTATCACTGTATATTAATTTTAGTACTAGGTGGTTTCCATTTAGAAAGTAGCTCTTTATATAGACATTATATATTTAGCTTATGTTGTCATTAGTTATATTTAGCATATGATGTAATTGATTTAGTATGTCACGGATGACATTGGGTAAATTTAGTATATGATGCAATTACATTGATAAAGATCGTTCTCTGTCCCATTAAAAAACGTCCTTTTGGGACTTGAGAAAGACATCTGTGTCCCGACTGAGGTTTTTGAGAGTTTTGTAAAGGAAATATTAGTGACGAGTCAAGGAGAGCATTCTGTGGATTTGTGAGAAGTCCAACAGACTATTGTTTTTACATTTCATAATATAGGGGATCGTTGAATTTAACAATGTTTTAAGTAGTGCAGACTTAAGTTATTATATTTTATTTTTATGTGAGATACACGTTTGGGTTTCATTAAAAGTAATTTCATTCTACTTTGTTTTTCTCTCTCCAAGTACTGGCGATATACTCTAGCTTATTTCATTACTAAGTGCGTCAACTTTATTTGTTTCCTATTCGTAAAAAAAAGTTGACTTTTTATTCCTGTACACTTCTATTAGTTATGGGTTCATCTTGATTTTTTTGGAACGCCTGTATGGCAAGTACTGATTTTTTTAAAATAAAACACTAGTTATCTTAACGAGGACTTGTTTGTTGTGATTTCAGCGACATATTTACAAGAAGTTTGCTTATGATTAGACAGCGTGAACAACTGGACTAAGATAAGACTGAACAAAAAACGAAAACATTTATAACAAATTGGTGTCAGAGAAAGAAGGCTTGGTGTCGGAAGCGGGATCGCAACGAATGATGTCAGATGTGGAAACGCAACACATGCTTACAACACACAATTGCGAAAGATGCTGTACTGGTATATGATAGGACCAGTTGTCTATGGATATTTTTTTGTGGCTTCTTATCCCAATTTGATCCGGTTCAGGCATATAAGGACGGATATCTAGGGAGACATAGCAGATACGATAAAAAAACATATTTCACGAAAAAGAAAGAAAAAAATCCATAGTGTTGCAATAAAGACAGCAGATATTTAAGTTTCTTCAATGTCCCTGGCTAAATAGAAAACACGAAAGAAAACCCTCGATTCTGTAGAGGGCCCTCATTAGTCGCCTCTTACGATAAACACGCAATGGAATACAGCTGGTCTTTCATGAACCTGTATAGCTAGGTGTGCACACATTTTGCGGTGTCCTCAAAATATCTTTTTTACCTTTACAATTATGTATCTAAAAAAAAATCTAAAAAAATCTGCCTGGTTCATTTTGCACTACAGTAAAGGTAGAAGGCATTTCCGTGTACGAAGCACGTTTAAACTTAAGCAAAAATTTTGTAGCTTTCTATCCAACATTTTGTTTTATAAACCCTTCTCTTAAGTGTAGATGACGAAATGGTTGATTTTTTATAGCTGTGATGTACGTGAATGACCACGTTTATATGCACGTTAAAAGCCAGTAAATAAAGAAATGGTTTATGACCGTGTATTTGTTCCAGAAGCACGTATCCGATGCCTCTATAGAGAACAATTGTTTGGGATGAAAATCATCCAGATACTAAATGAATTCTATAAGGGCGTTATATGTGCTGTTATTAGATTGTCTGAACAGATCCGTAGTGTTTCATGATATCTATTATGCATACCGTATCAATCGGTTTATTGTGCTGGTGTAACATGGATTTAACTTCTACAGGCCCCAATCCACCAGTTAGCATCGGGTTGTCCAGTATATCTGGTGTACGTGAGACAGATGTGGTAAACCTACTTCATCATAAACTCAGCATATCAATAATAAATAAACATTCAAAGGAATTATGAAATGGTTTTGTTGTGTCTTTGTTGGACTCTGTGGTTTTACCATAGTTTAAACTTGTGTTGAGATTGTTTATTGACCAGACATGTCTACAGAATATTCATGAACATCCATACTCTGTTCCGATACTTTTTTTTGTTATCAATCATATAATGCTTTCTTAAATATAAAGTTATTTGGTCCCCACCTTGTTTACCGGCCTTGAAGTTCTCGAGTGATTTACAGAACATATCTGTCTTCCACACAAAAATATTATTTTCATTTCTACCGCAAGAATATATACCAAATATTCAAATGTATGAAGACATAATATCGTTATCTGAATAATGTTGTTTTACAATAAAAATGAAGAGAATGATGTTGATGTGAGTTTCCACCACGCTGCGGCTCACTCCGACAATTCTTACACAAATCTATAATGATCAATATATTGTTCACGTGTTGTGCAATGTCCTGCTTAACATGCTAGAGTGATTCCCTTTGGTTTGTTTAATATACAAACATATACATTCTACATATCCTCAATGTTAACTGATTAGGAACAGGTAAAACAATGTTAAATGAAAACTATTTGATGAAATTAACTTAAAATATTAAATGCTATTATGAAAAGCAAAGATCAAAGTATAACTATATATCAAGAATAATCCGATATATATACTTAAATATACAATGCTTGTATCAAGCATAAGAACATCATAGACATTTATGTAATTAGAATATGTATCAAAGATAAACCAACACTACTATTCCGATAACTGTGAGTGAGGATAGCTTATTCATAAAAAGAGAGAAGAACTTTTCTGGCACGTGTCGGTGTTAATGTAAATATATGTCAAATTCTGTTTATTTTGGTCTGGCGTCGCTCCCGTGTAGAAGGTGATGTAAGCTATGTTGCTGAGTATAATTAAAACAAAACGAAAGAAAACAACAAGAATTGAGAAACCGCGCGAACAAAAGGAGAAAAAAAACCAGGAGTTGAGGATATATATATATATATATATATATTTAAAGAAAGACGGTAGGAATTATGGACACATCAGAAGACGGATATAATGAACAAAATATGTGGAATCACTAAAAAATATTAATTAAAGGAAAGATACATGCAAGTATTGAGAATACATCACACTAATAGAAGACAATCTAAGTGGAGGCATCAAAACAAAAGGAAAGAAATCAACATTGTTTGTTTGTTTATGATTTAACGTTCTCGCAACAAGTATTATAAGGTCAGGAATGAAGGCGAACGCCATGGAAAATATATCGCTGAAAAGAAAGTGTAGGTATACGAGGAAGAAAGAAAGAGATCCGAAGTGTTGCAAGAGGGAGATCCCTAAGCAGAAGACATTTA